GGCAGCCAGGAGAAGGGCTTGAGGACTTGGAGACCTCAAACCTCAACCCCACACTGACGCACTTTCTCTAATAAGGCTACACCTCCTAATGGTGCCACTCCCCATGGGCCAAGTATATTGAAACCACCATACATATAAAAAAAATCTATAGATGACTGAGCAGATAAAACTCTGATGCCTGCTGACCTGAGTTCAGTTCCTGGGGGCTACATGGAAAAAGGAGAAAGCCAACTCCTACAGGTGTCCTCTCACCTCCACAAGTGCACTGTGCCTCATGTGCATGCACACAAAACACACACCCATCTACATACAGATACATGGCAATAAATGTAATTTTTTCAAAACTAAAACCAGGAAAATCTCTACGTTGCCATTGGCTAATGTTGTTTTTGTTTGTTTTGTTTTATATTTTTGGGTTTTTGGGACAAGGTGGTGTTATGTTGCCCAGGCTGGCCTTGAGCCTCTAACATATTCCTCAATCTCCCAAGTGTTGGGAAAACAAGTATGTACTACCACAGCTGGCAGTTGCTCTTATGTTTATTTAATCTCTTTTGTTTAAACCTTGCACTGTATTGAAGGAACCAGGTTGTGTTGTATAACTCCCACTAATGAAATCTAATGTATTCTGCTGCCTGTATTTTGTATAGACAAATAGTAGAATTAGAGGCCAGAATCAATTTTTTTTCTTGGAAATACTGCTTGTTAGTAAATTGTGCATGTGTTTGCATCTATAGATACTGAATGCTTGATAGGTCTGTTTTTGTGATATAAAAACCACTAGTGACCACTATTGTGATTTGTGCCTTATTTTGTTCACTGGCTGTAAAGAAGAAACCTAACTCTAGACAGCTGTTCCTTTTTTTTTTTTTGGTTTTTCGAGACAGGGTTTCTCTATGTAGCCCTGGCTGTCCTGGAGCTCACTCTGTAGACCAGGCTGGCCTCGAACTCAGAAATCTGCCTGCCTCTGCCTCCCAAGTGCTGGGATTAAAGGTGTGTGCCACCACCACCCGGCTAGACAGCTGTTCTTGAAGAAGACTTATATATGTTCTTGATTTTTCAGAAATGCTTGCATATTGACCCAGACAAAAGGCCCTTCTGTGCTGACCTTCTTCACCATGATTTCTTTCAAATGGATGGATTTGCTGAGAGGTACAGTACTGGCCTGTGCTCTGCAGGCTGTAGGGACCAGGGTCAAAGGGAAGGCTCCACAGCCACAGTCCTACTTGTTATCACTCCCTTGCAGGATATCAGCTGTCTACATCCTACTCCATTGGCCCTTGGCAGTAACACAGTCCTCAGGTGGTTCCTGTATTTATTAAACTGGAACTGCTGGATTTCATGAAATAGATCTTTCTGTCTTCCTGTGGTGACACCAACTGCTCATTCAGGTCACTGATCTCTGTGGTGTTGCTGCATCTGTGCAGTTGCCATTTCCTGTTGCTGCCAGACTCATGCTACGCCAGGCCCAGTGGTCCTGTGGATGCTGCTGATGGCTGAGTCCTTGTGGATGCCATTGCTGCCTCAGTGTCTGTGGGTGCTTCTCCAGGTTTTAGCATTAGCACTGCTGACCAAACAAAAGACAGTGAGACAAGTGGCTGTGGCTACATACCTGTTTGTATGATTATATATATATAATTATGTGTATCCATGTGTGTCTGAATTTGTGTACATGCACACAAATGCAGGTCCTCTTGTGGGTCAGAAGAGGGCAGAAGATATGGAGCTGGAGTTAGAGGCAATGGTGAGCCTCCCAACATTGGTTCTGGGAACCAAACTCAGAACTTCTGCAAGAGCAGCATGTATTCTTAGCTGCTGAGCTAGCTCTCTTGTCCTAAAGTTTTATCATTCTTCAAGTCTTTTAAAAAAACTAGCTTAATACAAGACATCTAGATTCTTACATTTGCTTGTATATTAATTTGTGAACTTTGTAGTTATTTTTGTTTGAAGAAATTGTGTGTGTGTGTGTGTGTGTTTTAATAGTCTTTTGAGGTAATTTAGTATTCTTTGAGTTTATGTCAAACTTAGATAGTATACCAGAACTTGGCAATTGTAATTTCTTCCTTCTATCTTGTTCCCTCTGTTCCTCCTTCCCTTCCTTGTTTCCTTTCTTTTTTTCTCTTTGTTTTTTATTACTCAAGGCAGGGTCTTGCATTGTACCATTGTACTTCGGCTGATCTGAACCTCACTCAGTAGCCTAGGCGTAAGCTTCTCTTGCCTTGGCCTGTGGCGTACTGGGATTTACAGGTGTATGACACCATGCTTAGCTATAGTAGTTTCTTTATTTAAAGTTTAGTTTACTTTCATTTTTATTTATATTGCATTTTGTGTGTGTGTGTGTGTGTGTGTGTGTGTGTATGTGTATCTATCATATATGTGTACTCACAGAGGCTGGAAGATTATGTTGGATGCTGTGGAGCTGACAGTTTAGACAGCTGTTCCTGCCAGAGACTGGGAATCTGGTGTGGGCCCCCTGGAAAGCAGCAAGTACTCGTAACTGCTGAGGCCTCTCTCTAGTCCCTTCTAGTAGTTTCTAAAAGCCTGTCTGTGGTGTGAAATCCAAAATGTGTCAATGAACTTTCTTTCTCTGTTTCATGAGAATCTATTTATGTCTGATCTTCTGACCTGACATTTTATCTGTGCATGCTTTTATGATATACTCTCACCATTTGAAGCATATTGGTAATGTTGAATTATATAGAATGTAGGTATGGTTCTTTATATAATATAAAATATTATACTCAATTTTATCAGAAAACTTTTGAACTATTGAAAGACCTCTAAGATCCCAAGTTAACTGAATTGTAATTTTTTACATGGAAATTTGAATTTTATTGTTTATAGATAATATTTTCAGCTGATTCCTTGCAGTGAGTAGCTGCTCACCTTGTTCATGTTCAAGGCAGAATGGCTGCCACATTCCCATCTGAATAAGCATGTTTTTTTTTTTTTTTTTTCTGTTAATCTTTCAAGTGAAGAATGTGTGGCTTGACTTGTGTTTGGGCCACCATTTGGGTACTTCTCTTAAGACACCCAGCACAGCCTGTGGTTCTTCTTGTCACATAAGCTGAAGAGATATGTTGTTCAAAGGTCCATTTAGCTTTAATAAAATTGACCCTTTTCACTGCTTCACTCTGAGCATCCTTAAGTGACCCAAATACACAAAATGTGCGCCTGTGAGGGGCGCAGGACTGCTAGCACGCTGCAACTGCATCCACCATTGTTTCCCAGTACCAGTGCTCACAGGCTGGTGCAGACATTCTCATGCTGAGACTCCCGAGAGGCTCTCCCTGCACCCCGAGGCCTACAGGCCAGCTTTTAGGAGCTATTCATCGTTTTTTAATAAAATTGATTAGTTTAACACTGAATTTTAAACAATTATCTTGAGTTTTTTCCTAGGTTTATCTTTCTCATTAATTTTATTTTAATTGAGAAATATACTTTTATATAGGTTTTCTCAAGAATTGCAGTTAAAAATAGAGAAAGATGCCAGGAATAATTCTTTACCTAAAAAGTTTCAAAACAGAAAGAAAGAAAAAGACGATGCATTAGGTGAAGAAAGAAAAACACTTGTGGTACAGGTAAATATTCATGCTTTAAGGTTTAAATCTGTAGATGAAAATAATGAAGATTAAGTTTTTAAAAAATTACATTTATTCATTTTATTTTGTATATGAGTATTTAACCTGTGTATATGTGAATCACATACAGGCTTGAGACCTGTGAAGGTCAGAAGAGGGTGTTGGATCCGTAGAACTGGACCTTTATATGGTTGTGAATATGGGTGTTGGGTACCAAACCATGTGGGTGTTGGGTATCAAACCCTGGCCCTCTATAGAGAACAAGTGCTCTTCACCATTGAGCAGTCACTCCAGCCCAATAATGAAGATTTAAAAAATTTTTAAATATTATTTATTATTATTTATATGAGTACACTGTAGCTGTCTTCAGACACACACCAGAAGAGGGCATCAATCCCATTGCAGATGGTTGTGAACCACCATGTAGTTGCTGGGAATTGAACTCAGGACCTCTGGAAGAGCAGTCAGTGTTCTTAACCAATGAGCTATCTCCAGCCTGATTTTAAAGTTTTAAAATACTGAGTAAATTGTTAACTTTCAACTTGGTTGTAAAACATACCTAAATAAACAAAAAGATAGTGTCTTTCCTACAGACACTAACTTAAAAAACCTCATAATATATTTTAAATGGTACTAGAAGGTGCAATAGTGTTGCTTAGAAAATCACCTAACATAAAATAATGACTTGAAGGATATAAGGAAATGTTGTATTCTGGGCCAAAGACAAATAACCATGCCCCAGGAATATGGATTTGAGTTACCCTGCATGACATGTTTTGCTGTAAGATCTTTATAGCCACAGAATGAAGAAGGTCATAAGTCAGAGCATTCACTAAACACACTGGTAGGTGTTAGGTAGGTGGCTACAGCAGAAGGGAACATCTTTTTTTTGTGTGTTACAGGTGTTAGCTTACAGCCTTTAGCTTTTGGGTTGGCAGAAACTTAGCAGTACAATCTCAGTTTACTGAGTAGTTTTGAGGGAGCTGGATCAGATACAGAATGTAAGTGACTATGAAAGAGAGTGAGGTAATCCAAGATAATTTTGACTGTAGACCTACATCCATCTCTCTGTAGTCACAGGTCTCACTCACCCAGTCAGTCTACAAAATCTGTGGAACAGATGCAACTTCAACAAGAATTTCAGTTCTACACACTCTTCCAAGAATACTGGGCATCTCTGTCCATGTACACATATAAACATACATGCATATGCACATGCTTACACACATGCATGTGGAGGTGCATATACACATCACATGTACACACACACATACACTGGGGAGCAAATGCATGCAACTTACTCTACTTTTCTTCCTTTTTTTTTTTTTTTTTTTTTTTTTTTCAAGACAGGGTTTCTCTATGTAGTTCTGGCTGTCCTGGAACTCACTCTGTAGACCAGGCTGGCCTCGAACTCAGAAATCCGCCTGCCTCTGCCTCCCAAGTGCTGGGATTAAAGGCGTGCGCCACCACCGCCTGGCTACTTTTCTTCCTTAATAATAGAAAATAAAGATACTACTTTTAGAAGTTTAGTATCATTTTAAACTTGTGATTCTGATATCTAATTAAAAGATTACTTTCCTGATAAGTTACTCCAGATCTGTTCTTGATAATGTTTCCACTACTATCAAGTGAACCAAAGGAAGAGTTTTCAATTTTATGTTTGCTGACTCTGAATATGTAAAAAAGCAGCAGTCACTCTGTATTCCTCTTCTATTTTACTCCCCAACTGAAATGTATACTCATAGACACAGACATATCTACTATCTGTCTGTCTATCTTCTGTCTATCATCTATCAAGTTGGTGTTCATCACATATAGACTTCTTGTATTTTCACAATAACTATTTGAATAAGAGTCTTGATTTAATTTTAACTCCATAGAGAATAGGAATGTAAAGTTTATTGTCAGATCATTAACTTGTTAACATCTTTATTAATGGTCAGGATACCAATGCTGATCCCAAAATTAAGGATTCTAAAGTGTTTAAAGTAAAGGGGTCAAAAATTGATGTCGAGAAAACGGAAAAAGGAAGTAGAGCTTCAAATGCCAACTGTCTCCATGACAACGGGACAAACCACAAAGGCTTGCCTTCCACAAGCCTCAGAGATTGCAGCAATGTCAACATTGATCACTCAAGGAATCCAGGCACAGCGATCCCTCCACTCACACACAATCTTTCTGCAGTTGCTCCTGGTATTAATGCTGGAATGGGGACTATTCCTGTAGTACAGAATTACAGGTATGAACGGAAAATGAGACAAAAAAAATGGTTGTTAATTTGTTCACGTTGTTTACTGTCAAAATTCTGGATGCAATTTCTATTTATAAAATAGCTCTTTAAATATTTTTGATCATTATGATGAGAAGTTATTAGAATTTTCCAAAAAAAAAAGAAAAAGAAAAAGAAAAGGAAAGCATTCATCTGAATTCTAAGAAAGTATTTTTACTGTTGTTTACAATGAAAAGAAGCTACAGCAGTTTAGTTTAATAACATTAAAGGCTATCATTAATAAAAGGAATAATTCGTTGTGAGCACCTGCTTCTGCATGGATGTTGGTGAGTTGTTAGTGGGACACAGAAGCTCCTTTGGGTGCTTTACTGAAAGGAGCAGCTGCAGGAAGCCCAAGGGATGTGATAAATGGTCAAAAGCTGCACCAGATTTCTGTGCATTTGTACTTGAGAATTCACATTAAGTTCTGATTAAACCACATATCCTTTAGCATGATGTCATTGATTTTGTGTTTGAAAATAATTATTGATGATTCTAACTTAAAATTTTTGTTACAGAGTGGAAGAGAAAACTAAGAAATACTGTAATCCATTTGTTAAAGCCAGCCAGCCTTCCCCGTCAGGGATTTACAATATGAATGTGAGCACATCCGTAAGTAACTGTTCTCTGCTGCAGAGCAAGCACTCGTCACCTCTCAGCCTGCGCTGCTCGTAAGCATGAGTGAAGAGTTAAGTTTTACTTGGAGACATAGAATACAACCTGAGTTACACAGTGCCAGCCTCACTTGTCAGAGGCATAACTCGAAATTCCCAATGTCTAAATAAATTTTCTAAGTCTGGTTGAAAGATTCTCTCACAATGCCATCTCATTTATTTTCGGCAGCATAATAAATTTTCTTAAGCTAATACTTGCAGTTCAATTCTTGTTAAAGAGTAAATGAGAAGATACCTTGTCTTACTATCTTACTAGATTTTTGGTAAAAATATTTTGTATAATCATGTAAACATTTATGATCATTCTGTTGTATATGAAACATAAATTGAATTAATTCAATCTTTGTGGAGTTCATGGTCTAGTAGATCAGCAAGATAAAGACACAATGGCATATTTAATATGAGAAGCATGTGTGTGGTTCAGAGATAGCATAGGGAGGAGCACTGCTCTCAGCAATGCCTTCAGAAGGCAGGTCCAAGACCACACCTCTTATCTTGATTAAAACTCTCACTTGACTTCTGTTCTCTGTGGAAGGGCCAGAATCCTGATAGGTATTAAATCCCTATATGAGTTAAGTCCCCAACTCTGTATTTCATCTGTTTTCCTCAATCTGTTCCAATTGTAGATTCCCTTTTTACTTTTATGTGATGGTCAGATATACCCCTCCTGGCCTTTGGGCTTTTACACTTCCTGTCTGTCCTGCTTTAGCACATTCTTCCCCAAGACAATCCAGCAGATGTTTTGTGTCCTCTTTAGTCCACAGGAAACCTTGAAGTCTTCTTTCATATTGAACTCATTTTAATATGGCATCTCATCCTCTATCACTGTCTAAACCCTCTTCTTACCTCATTTTCTTCCACTGTATATAACTGATAGCCTCTGTGATATATAGTCTGTCTTCTAGCAATGGGAAGTAACTTCCAGCTTAGTAGTTTGTGCTTTTGTTTTTCTTGTTGAGCATCCTATCACATACAGTAAGAACAATCATACATACAGTAATGTTTCTTTAGGCTGATAAAGCTGCTTGAGAGGGTCTGGGAGTGTAAGTATCAGAAGCTGGGTACCAAGAATCTAAAGGGATGGTAAACCTGATGGTGGGATAATGTGCATGAAGACCAGCTGGTCACAATTGCAGTAAAGAACACCAGCTGTTTGCTGAAAAACCCAGATGGTGGTCAAGGCTGACCCCTATGGCATGAAGAGCCAAGATGTCATGTCATCTTCAGCTGCCTATTGCTTGTTGAGTCTTCCACAAGATTGGCTAAGGGGAGAAAAGGAACTAATGAACAATTAGATTTTCTACTTGTTAGCAAGTTTGATAAATTAATGGGGTAAAACTGTTTTCTGTGTCAGTAATGTCCTTAAAGTTTTATTATTCCAGCCCTTGAAATGACACATGAGCATAGTAGTTACAAGAGGATGAAAGCCTGGCTCACCTTAAAGCTAATATATGTGTGTCAATCATTCTGGTAATTAGGTCTCAGGTGAAAAGTACCTTCTTCAGGCAAACAAGAAAAGGAAGGAATATTCCAAAGCAGATGTGCGATTGCCTGAACTAAACTATAACCATCTTCCTGAACTGAGAGCTTTAGAAGGCATAGGTATGTGTGTGTGCTTCTACTCTTTCAGTCCTTTGTTTATATTGCTAAATTTTAAGTTAAGTAAACTTAAAATAAGTTTAATTTGTAAGTACTTAACTTAAGTAAGTACTTACAAATGAGAAAAAACTAATAGTTCCTAATTTTTTCATTATGTTTTTGATTCTTTTTATCTAGCTCGAAATTCTAGGCTAATAAAGAAAGAGAACAAATGTCTTTCAGAATCTCGAATTCCCTCTTTGGCTGCCATTGACCTGCACACATCCAGTGTTGCATCACACCAGGTATGGAGGTGCTCTTCACAGGTGCAGCTCAGGTGCAGAGATGCTCATCACAGGTGCAGCTTAGATTTGATATGCTTCAGGGGGAAAGTGCTCTTAGGAATTTGGTAGGTCTCATATGGGATTGATTTTAGTTATAAGTTTATTATGCATAGAACTTTATTACACACACATTTATCTCAAAACTTCTGCCCTGAAATAATCCATTCTTTAATTTTAGCTTTTGAGATGGGGCCTTTATCTTTAAAATTGTTATAAACTTTATTATAAAAAACTTACATAAATAAAAACATAAAATATCAAAATTAACCATATCAGAAGTCTATATAACTCATGAACTTCTTTTTTTTATAGAGAGATGTACATAATTATTTCTTTTTTAAATTACATTCTTTTTTTTTTTAAGATTTATTTATTTAACACAAGTACACTGCCCTTGTTTTCAGACACACCAGAAGAGGGCATCAGACCCCATTACAGATGGTTATGAGCCATCATGTGGTTTCTGGGAATTGAACTCAGGGCCTCTGGAAGAGCAGTCAGTGCTCTTAACCGCGGAGCCACTGCTCCAGCCCCACTCATGAACTTCTAATAGTTAGAATTAGCATTCAGAATGGCAGCTGTGGAGCTTCACATTAAATTTTTTACTTTAAGTATTGAATATATTTCATGCACTATCTACCACCCAATCAAAGAAATTGTGGTAGAATTAGAACTAGAAGAGCAATCAGCTGTGCATCCTCTGCCTTAGCTCATGCCCATCACCTGCACCCAGGCCTTCCTCACCGCCTATACTCAGCCTTTCTCCTCTTTCCTTTATGTTGTGTATACTGGCATCTACATGTGTGTACATGTACACATGTACTTTTGGATAGATTCTGCATATGAGAGAGAACATGTTTTTTTCTAAGATTGTGTGTTTTCATTTAATATTATGCATTCCAGGTCTATCCATTCTCTTGCAAATTATACAACTTGATTTTTGCTTAGAGTTGGGTAATCTTTCACACACACACACACACACACACACACACACACACACACACACACAC